TTTTTGGGTTGCACAAAAAACCGGGATGTTACAGACATGCCCGCCACGATTGCCGGGTTGAGTTTGGAGGCCCAGCGGTTGATGACCAATGACGTTGTGGCCCGCGGGTAGGTGGACCTTCTTTGCCTCGCTTTGTCCTTGAGCTTGCTGCCCGAGTCATACTTTTTAGTCAGATGGTGTGGTCATCTCTTTCTTTTTGCAGGGGCTGATGAGGACTTCAATGGAGAAGTCCTGGTTCCTGTGCTTGGCCTACCGAATGCAGGCGGGGTGCCATGGACCATGGCCTCCTGGTCAAGGCGGAGACGGAGGTGCGACGCTTGTGTCAGGAGCTAGAAGCTTCCTAGAAGGCGCAGGCAGAGCTGCGTCAGGGTCTGATCAATGCCACCAGAGTGATTGATTTGGCTCAGGGTTAGCTTGCGGAGCAGGAGGCACGGGCTCAGTCTCAAATCGGTTTGCTGAAGACCCAGGTGGCCGGTCTCAAGGCAGCATTAGCTGTTTAGGAGACAAAGATCAATGCAGCGGACGCTGCTCGAAACGAGGACGAGCAGGGTCACCAGTGTCTCGAAGCTAAGTGCTAGAGTCTTCGATCCACTTGCACTGATGAGTTTTCTCTACCTGCCTCATGCTTTCGCTCGGTTATTGGACTTGGTTAAGGACCGGTTGTTTTTTTAGGGTTATGCACAAAGGCGCTCTCAGATTTGGAGGAGAGGACGGTTGAGGACCAGAGGGCGCAAGAGATGGCTGCATTACATCGGTCGGCTCGCATTATGATGGCGTCGATTACGATGCCGTGTGGCAAGGGTACTCGTCGAAGAAATCCGACAATGAGATCCTTGGCATCGGCAATTCCGCCGCTCGTGTGCAGAGGTCCTCGCGAACAAGGTGTCGGCTGCCACCGTCCGCCTCCAGTACTAAGCTTCTGGTGCATGACAGTTGTCCACATGGATATGTTGTATGACATGGGTGATCCTATTGTAATGAATTACACTATATTTTGTGTATATATGGTGTTTGGTCGATGCATTCGTTAGTCATTTTGCTGCCTTTTTTGCTTTCTTTCCGTTCGAGTTAGAATGTGCTCTGTTCCCCTAGTCTCGCACGCGTGGGTGCATGTTTTAGCTAGGGGGCTGGCCCATGGGGCTAAAAGGTGCACAACCTAACGGCGCGGTAAGACGTCGGGGGCAGGTCACAGATCCGGTGCAATGCGAGAAGAAAACGAGCAGGTGACAAGAGTTCTGTTTCCACTTGTTCCCTTTGCCTTGAGCGAAATAGCACCTGATTCCCCTCTGAGCTCATGCACGGGTGCTTGGTCTTGCCTTGGAGCTGGTCCATGAGGCTTGGTTGGAGCGACCCCTTAGTACAAATAAGAAGTTGAGAAGCAGGTAACCGATTCGTAGCGGTGCGAGGTACGATCGGAAAAAAACTCGAAACGGGTCACTGGGACGGTGACAAGCAGTGCTATGCCTTAGAGCATATATATGCATGCCTGTATGTGTGGTCCCCGCGAGTGAGTCATGTTCGGCTATCGACGCAGGCTAGGACGAGTCACTCGGAAGGTGAACAACGATAAAATAAGTTGTGCGAGTGTCATGTTCTTGGGTTTAATCTATGAGCTGGCTCTATGTTATTGGAGCTATGGGTGAGCCTACATGTGTATGTGAATGTGCTTAGGTAAAGAAGCTAGGGATAGAGTTGTCGTAACCGATCGATGTACCAGAAGCTATTGTGTATCCTGCTGTCGTTGCTCGGGGTATGGCGAGCCCCTGAGTGCTTGTCCACGGCGAGGTCGTTGTGGATCATGAACCGCATGCTGGTGAAGGCGCTTCTCTATTGTCCAGAGCGATCGCAGCCAGCGTGGGTCGTCCTTCAGGAATCCCTTGAGCCGACCCTTGCTGTCTTGATGTCCTTGGCGGGCTCGTGAGCCCCCGGGGACAGCTTCTCCGTGTTTGGCCTAGGGATGCCCTTGGTCGTGAGGGCTCGACCATCTTAATGCCTGAGACATCGTGCCACGACGACATTGATGTTGTTGCTTCTTCGCTCCTGACTGTGGTTGCCGTCTGCGATGGAGAGTGAGTGGGACCTACTTATTGCGGTGTGGCGCGCGTTCGGAGGACATGCGTCCTCGGATGCGCACGCCTCCACGGGAGGATTGACAGTTCGTACCATCGTGGCGGACGGCCGGTCTGGTGCGCGTGGCCTAGCCTAGGGTCTAGGCTTGACCTTGCGAGGGATGATGTCGGATGGCCGTTCGGTCACTTGGGACGACGTCGTATGGCGGCGGATGGTTTAGTCGCTCATGTGCGCTCTGATCCACCGTGGCCCACCGACAGCGATATGCTGCTTAGGGCATGGTCCTGCCGCGGGATCCAGCGCGGAGGGCCTAGACGGGGTAGGAGCCGGTAACGGGCGTGAACTCGTTAGTGTGGGCGATCTCATGGTTTCCCAAGAGGATGTCGCCACTGAGGGCCATTCCATGGGCGAGCTCTCCATGAGCCACGTGCCTCGGGTTTCTAGGGTGTAAGATCGGGCCATGGCTAGTGATAAGAGAGGGTGCTGGCCCCCCTATGTAGGTGAACTCTAGGATGTGGCCACCGGGGGCCGTTTTCGAGAGTGTGTCCGCCGTAGGCCATGGAGTCTAGGACTCTAGGGTGGAGAACCTAGCCAGGGCTGAAGGCAGACGTGGGCGCTGGCCCATCGACGCCAACAGACTCGGGGTTCCCATGACGGATGCGGCCCGCTGGGTCCATTCCACGGGTGAATCCATCAACGGTGCGAGGAGCCATCGCTTCCTTCTCAATAACGAGAGTGTGCGACTGTCCCCTACCTGGTGCGCCAACTGTCGATGTTTTATCGACCGACTAGTAAATTTGTATGATGGTCGCGTTGCTCCAAGAAGACGATAGTAGCATCCAAAAGACATAATGAATTATACTGGTTCCTCGATTGAATGCTCTGAAGTTCTTACAATAGGGTATGCAAGAAGGGTGAAAGGGGTAGGAGAATGGAGAGGGACTGTCCGAATGAAGGATTCGAGAGTTCGATGCCTTGGAGGGGTGCCATGGCTGCCCTTATATAGTGCCCGGAGCCAGGCCACGTACAAAGTGATAGGTTCTCCCGACCGAGGGGTCATGAGCCTGAGGGAAGGAACCTAGCTAACTTGGCCGGCAAGGAATGTCATCTTGTCTTGATGTAGCGCATGTCTGGGCATGGTTGTCGTCATGGTCTTGTGCCCACGTCATGGTATGGGGGCGACGTGGTGCTACTGTGCTGGTTGTGGCGACACTGTTGGCGCAGTGGTGGTTCGCCAGCCGTCCTATGTGACGTGGTCTCCGTCTTTGGCCTCCTCATGTCCCGTGGGCGTCGAACAGAGAGTTGGTAGCCACCCTCGGGTCGTTAGTCGTCTTGTCGCTCATGGAGCCAATGGCCACGATACCAAACTTTGGGGTCGTGGCCTTCGTTGGCTTGGGCGTTCTTGGAAGTCAAGGCCGCTATCGTGAGCCCCATCCCATAGTGGGTGGAGTCGTACGTCCGTCCTGTCGGGCCATATTTGGACGGTGGTTATTGTACCTGTCGTCACCGCCTGGCGGTCCTATCTTGTCTATGGCATGGCGCAGGGACGGCGCCTGCTCCGAGACTGCTGTCCCCTTGGTCCTAGCGTGCCTGCTCTTGTTAGGGTAGGTGTACTTGATGGAACTCGACACCTCTTGCCTTTCTCAGGGGTAGGGACGGAAGAGAGGTCATGCGGTGCGGCGCGCGGTGAAGGGAGAGGGAGGAGGTAGTGGCCGACTCCTCATCGTGGTGTTTGTCCCATGTCTACACAGCTTAGTTAGGCCACGGTCGCTCGGGCTTATACCAGCTTGTGTGTTGTGGGCCGCCCGTGAAGCTAACTAATCGGTGTCTTGAGATAACTGGGGTATCATAACCTCGACACCTAGAGTTTGTGGAGTGCGTAAAGCTAAACCTGTTTCGCTAAAAAGCGTGGAGCGGTGCTAAAGAACGTGGAGTGGAGCAGTTTCAAACACTCCCTTATTTAATTGCATCCACCCGGGCTTCGAACACGAAAATAGTACGAGTTAAGTGTAATTATTTTATGTAATTGCATCCGCCAGAATTCAAACTCAAGACGCCAGGGACTGACAGTATATTGTTTTCCATGCACCAACTAATTTAACCAAAAAAAAACTTAACATAACAATCACATACCTCAATGTAGTATCTTAAACTTTTGAGTTAAATTGGTCGATGCATCTAAATATTTCGTACTCAAATCCTGACCAGTGCAATAAAAGAAAATTATGGCAGCTGACTCCAACTCACTTATATTCATGATCCCGATGAGTGGTTAACATGTTTTAATTTTTTTTAGGGCAATTTTTTGTGCTATGCCAACGTAAACTATCACTATGTGCAGTAAATTTCCCCAAGTATACACATGCCCCGGAGATACTACTAGGACGGAAACAGTACTAACTTTAGGCGGCGAATAAAGGTGCAGCCGGTCTTGTTGTCAAAAAAAAAAAAGGTGCAGCCGGTCCTTGCATGCGCAACAGATGCCATTTTAGTGCAAAATCAGTACAGTACCACCTTGCATGATTTTATGACAGCGAAGAACATTGAAGTCCCGCTTTCTGATTTCTGCTGTTTTACAACCACCGCTGTGAGCAGGAAGCCATGTCCGTGTCGTGCACAACGGCTAGTACAGCTAATGCTACCACATTTTTCATAGATATAAATCACGACCATACAACATCACCACTAACACATGTCAGAGTACAATCATGGTACATCATTCACACCGTAGAGAAACAATAGAACTTAGTGCACATACATTTCAACGATATATCATACCGCAGGTGCAACCCACAGTGCAGAGACGCCAGTAAGATTCCATCTCCTCACTCAGGGCCCAGAAACACCCTTGTCAAGGCCGTAATCCGTCATGCCCACACCAACCTCATTTTGGTGCTTCATGAATCCGCCGTCATGTTTTTTTGAGTAACTCAGTAGTACACAAGGGACGCCAAGAGGTTGATGATCATCATTGCAGCGGCGGCTGCAAAGACTCCCTTGCGAAGGGTGGCGCAGGTCACCAAGTCATGCTTCATATAGTAACCTAAATACTTGGTGTGCTTTGCATTCCTCACCGATCCTCCTATGAGGCAAGCTTCTGCGATGAGAAATGTTATCCTGCAAACAAGTGAAAACACAATGGAAGGACCAAGTTATTTCCAAACAGCACTTTTAGATCTCAGGAAATAGCACCAATGTGTACATCTGACTTAATAAAAAGTAACCAACTGAATGGTCCAATCCAAATTCTACATCTGACCTAATAAAAAACGCCCATGTACAAAATTAAACTTATATATTTTTCAACCAAATTATGTATCAGGAAGGCATGTATCGTGGGAAAATTTTTTGCAGGACACAATTTAGTATTCTGGAACAACAAACGTGTGCAGAAGGGCACTGAATTGTGCCCAATAGCCAATGTATGAAAACAGAAGATAATGTCCACTGGCTGATTTCCACAATAGCTGTCCTAGAGCAAAAGGCACAAAAATAAATGTCCCGCAGCAAATTTTGATTATTGCAAGCACTCTTCAAACAATGTACTTGTACACCAACTACAAATGTTTCCACATATACAAGAAAGACATTCAGACGGGTTTGCATGCCAAAGAGGGACCCACTAGTGGGAGTTAATAGCGAATCTGGAAACTACAGTCCTAGTTCTGAATACCAAGATTTTTGAAGGAAGAATAAAGACTATGATCACAGTGATGAAACTTCAGAACCAAACTTGTCTAATAATCATAGTGCAGAAAACCTAGATTTCCTTTTGTTACTGACGCTTCACATCAGGCCTTAAAGCAACAAGGTTTCAGAAAACCCCCTACCTTAATCAAACAACAGTTTGCTGGAGCCAGAATAGAGGTCACCAGGATGATTGGATCATAATGGAGAAAGCTTTTAATGTGGATCCTCCCATTAAGGACTCAAGAGATGCAATATGGTCAGGTGTAGGCTAACTTTATTAGGGTAGGTTTGCTAAACTTTTTGAGGTCTGGCCAAAACCTCAGATTTGGTGCCACCAGCCAAGCAGCTTGAGGTTTCTTACAACTACAATAATTTTCAAAACTAGCAAAAAGCCCATGTATCGCAAAGGCATAAAAAATCAAACAATTACATGTGCATAAACAATTCATGTGATAATAGTGTCACAGAAAAATGACAACCATCAAAGTGAAATAAGACAGTCAACAAATTCCCAATAATCAGACTCAATGGCAAAGGTTGGGTTAAGAAGTTTAGGGGCAGAGTGATGGTGATGGCAGGCAAATCATCAGCATCAACTTGAATGTTTTAAGGCCCTGTTTGGATCATTGGAATGTGCGGTTTGGATTGGAGGAATGAATATCACCATTCCTCCAGAAAGGATGAGTTCCCTTTGCAGAATGCAACTAAAACATTTGCCCAGACCCAAAGTTTTTTCAGATGCTCGAGGTGGACACGCGCTGGAGAGAGAAAACAGAGGTGAACATACAAGAAACAGCATCAAAGCAAGATCCGTACTGCTAAATTGATTTGCACCATCAAGTGCATCGCAGCCTCTTCTCATCTTCCGTCTTCCACACCAACCAAGCGCCTACAGAGTGTTATGTGGACCATCCTGAATGGAACAACATAGACAATCTTCCCTTGTCAGTTGGGAGTGGTCCAAGGTGGCTGCGCGTGGGCTGAGTGTGATTGTGCCCAGGTGGAGGAGAGAGACTAGACTTGGGGGAAGAAATAATAAGATCAAGAATGGAAGAAACTAGAGTGAAAGCAGCAGAAAGGAGATGGAAGAAGTGTTCAATCCTTCACGGATGTGTGGTAGTAAGTCAAATGATCCATATGTCAGTGGGTTGCTAATAGAAACTCTTACGCCTATAGAGATGAGCAGACTACCTGATCATCATGACTTAAGAATGAAAACCACATCGAGTCCAAGCAAACAAGTTTCCCATTAATTCCAATTTTTTCCAATGCTCTTTTTGTTCCTGCATCCCAAACACCAGCTCTTCTAATTCCTATGTTCTCCAATCATCTGTTTGGCCACTACACTTCTTTCCTATTCCTGTGTTTTCTTCCTTTTTGGTGTTTTTCATTCCTGCATTCCAAACAGAGGCCCTAGGTAGTAGAGATTACTCTTAACAAAAACATCTGAAATTTTCTGTGATTGTTTTGGTTTCACAAAAGTGCAGTACACATAGCAAACAGCGGTCACTAATTTATAAGCAGCAGGCATCGCCACCAGTTCAATACCACACAAGAAAAGGGTTGGGAGATACATGATATGTAATATATGTAAAAGACTACTGATAAAGATAGCTCATAACTTTGATTAAAATTCCATTAAAGATGAAGTTAAGGAGGCTTGAGGGACTCAGATTATTAATATGAAAAACAATACAACTGTTATGGTGATTGGCAGTTCATAGTTTTCACATTGAGATACATATTAATAAATAGTGATATTTCTTCAAATTATCAAGAGAAAAATATTTCATTGAGTACTAATCTTTAAAATTTATAATTTTTGAGTTTTATCAAACATTACTCGCATAACTCCTCAAACCTAAATCACAACTAGCATGCATTTAACAGAAAAGAACAATCTGAAGGCATATCAAAGGCACCCATTAACATGCTGATAGCAGGTATGTCACATACATAACAAAAGCAATGGGTTGGGGAAAAAGTATCTTGGAAAAATGAGATAAGCTAAAGCATAGATAAATTTGGATGCACCATCAGCCACTGAAGAATCTAGTGGAATATGCTTCCCCAGAAACACTGATTTCATAATGTTAGACCAATTGACGTTACTCTTCTCTTCTAAATGTGTATTGGTATGCTACATAAATCATTCACCATTTGGACACATAAAGAGCTGTACTGCTGTAGGATGGAGGTCCATATAATTGAACCAGCAGAGTGCCACTTGTCCATAGAACTAATTGAAAGAATACAACGGTATGCTGCCGTTAATGTATAAGCCATTCGAGAATTTTGGAAGTACACTGACAGTATTATCAAATGATTTTGTAGAATCTGCTCTATACTTGTGAGTACATAGCCCTTCCACTGCTCTTGCAGTAATGGAACAACCAAAACAGGTAAACAACTACAAGCCTATGCTGATAATTCATCCATAATTGCATAACTGCCATTCATCATTTGGACCCACAATAAGCTGTTACAGGTCCATATAATTCAACCAAATGAGTGCGACCTATCCATATAATGAATTCAAATAAATAATTTCGTTAATGAATGCACCATGGCAGCATTACAAAACTACATTTACAGTATTATCAAATGATTATGGAGAAATTGCTTCCCGCTGCTCTTGCACTAATGGTAGAGGTAAAACTGGTAAACAGCTCCAAGCCTATGTTGCTAAACTATTCATCAATAAGTTCATTACTGTTGTTCTAGCATATTAAAATTTGCAATCCTCAAGCGTATAGGGTAAGCCCCCACATCTTAAAATTTCAAAGAAAAACTATCTGCCTCCAAATGAAGCTTACAAAAGGCAACCATGGAGGCTACTGCACAAACAGATTCGGATTTGCAATCCTCAAGCGTATGCACATGTGCCTAACCCGAGAAACAAATGTACTGAAATTGAACCAAATCTACGGATCAATCTAACCTACAGGCCGTGGCACGCGTCATCAGCCCATGACGCCACATACAGATCAAAGAAAGAAGAAAGAAGGGGAAAAATGCGGGGTTTAGGTGCGGGTCTAGGGTTTAAGTCACGCACCAGGAGAGGACGAATGCGGTGACGGCGCAGCCGCGGGAGGAGAGCACGGGGCCGAAGCAGAGGCACCGCGTGGCGGCGGTGACAACGGCCTGCTGGAGCAGGAGCACGAAGAAAGCGGAGACGCCGTAGACCGTGGAGGCGTCGGTGTCGTAGAGGCAGTAGGACCGCTCGTCGTACTCGTCCGGCACCACCTTCCCCTGCATCGAGGCATCGAGCAGGAAGATCTCAGCGACGCGCGTAGCGTAGGAGCGGAGGAGATGCAGAGGGACCGGAGCGAAGGGAGAGAGAGAAAGGGGTCGCGTACGGTGCTGCGGCGGCGCTCAGCGCCGACGGCGAGAAGGAAGGCGAAGAGGTTGAGGAAGGTGAGGAAGGCGCAGAGGGCGACGGAGGAGGCAGGGCGCGAGGTCCCGAAGCCACCCATCAGTCAGTATCGAACTCCGGCGGCGGCGTCGCTCCAAGGCGGAGGCGGAGAGCTGTCTCTTCCTTCACTCTGGGAGTGGTAGGGGAAGTGGGAGTGGGAGAGGGAGTAGGAGGAGAGACTGCTCGGGCCCCGCTCGTCGGCCACCAATATATCATCATCAATCCGCGTTTTGGGGTGGCTGTCTCGTGTGCCGGTGTACGGCCAGGGACCATTTTCTCCTTTATTATTTTTCTTTTGAATAAGTATATAAGCTTTTTCTCTTCATTTTTTCTCCTTTTATTTATTTCTTCACCTTTTGATTCTATAGCTATCTGTGGTGCCTTTTCTAGGAAGCAGGGATTTTTTTTTAATTAGCAATGATGTTGACTGTACGCTTTAGGCCAGTATCAATAGGGTTTCAAAGGAGTTTTATTTCTAATTAATGCTGTGACATGTCAGCAAAATTACTGAGTTGCACGGGATATTAACGAGAAGAGAGAGAAGAGTTTCGATGAAACTCAACTTGCACGAGTGGTGATGAAACCGGTTGAAACACACACTGTGACACTGAGCCCGCCGAGTTTCAGTCTAGCTAGCTCATCCGGATCTCCTGCGACGCGAGCCTCCCTCCCGCTCGCTATCGTTCTCATCCTCCTTGCGCACCTGCAGCCAGCCCAGCTCACGCTCTGCACCCACCTCCGCCGTGCACCAGCACTGGCGCTTCTGGAACGACACGCGGTGGGTCGCTGGTGCTATTTACTTGTTGCTGGCCATTTTTCTTGGAGTTACTTGCTGTTGGCCTTGATTGTTTAACTTGGTGGTGTGTTCGACAGACTTGTTTGTTTAACTCGGTCTCTTAGCTACTTAGTGCCAAGTGGATGGCAAGTACGGTTAGGATTAAGTTATATCAAGCGTGTCTGCACACCAGAGAAAGAGGTACTATGTTGGTGTTACATGTGGTTATGGTTAGCCATCGGATTTATCTAGTGGATACCAAAAGACATCACCAGAAGATTAAGGCTCCCTTTGGTTAGACTTTTGGAACCTGTTTTTGCTTCCAAAAAGCGACAAGCCAACCAAAGGGGCGGGAACCCATAGCTACTTTAAGGCAAAAGCCAATTTTCCTTTAGTACCATAGCAGCTCCCCCTGCTTTCACCGGCTGCGGAGATGGGTAACTTTGAAAAAAAGTACCCACTTGCCACTGGTTATAGAAGGTACCACTTCGTTCTTTTTTCCTGGACAACTCTTTCTCTCGTCCTCTATCCTCTTCCTAAGCGTGAGCTGCACTGTCGCTGCCACCATGAGTGCAAGCTCCACCGCCGCCGCCGCGTGCACGAGGTTCATCGCGGGTAAATGCGTGAGCGCGAGCTCTGCCACTGCCACCATAGGCATGAGATCTATTGCGGTCGTGACCTTTGGTGCTGGCACGAGCTCCACCATGGGCTGTGCCACTGCCTTCTCCAATGAAGAAACACACAACAGAGAAATATGCATTAGGTGGTTGGTTGACATGTAGGGTCACAGATGACATGTGGGGCCTGTTGACAACAGCTTTTACAGAAGCCACAAATGTTCAACCAAGCGGCTTTCAACTTTCCCACAGCCCACAACCCACAACAGCTTTTCCATAACCAATAGCTCACAACAACTTTTTTAGAAGGCACAACTCAACCAAACAGACCCTAAGTGTCCTGTTCACCGAGAGGGGTTGTCGATGCGGGACCCACAGGATACCCCGCAAGAGAGATAAAAGATCTAGTTCAACTAGGATTCTTCCCATGTAATCTTAATAGTAGAACTATTAAGTAATCCTACTAGAAAATCTCATTGTAAACCGACTAGGACAGTGGCCTCCTGACAATATAAAGGAGGGCAGGGCTCCTGAAAGGGACAACAATTGTACAACATAACACTTCATAATCAATCCAACGCAAAAGGCCAACGCCGACTAGACGTAGGGTCGTTACTCGATCTACGATCGAGGGCCTGAACCAAGATAAATCGACTGTCTCTTGCGTTTACCATCGAGTTTAGCATACGCCGAAGCCCGAACGATACTGCCACGGTACCCCTGTGGCAGGCTATCGGTGGTAAAACATCGACAGCTGGCGCGCCAGGTAGGGGCTTTCGGTGACTTTGCATCCGAGAGCTCGATGGACCTCAATAACATGATCTTCCTAACGGGATCGATTTTCATCTTCGGCTCATGGATCTGCGAGGCGGACAACTACGGCAAGCTTCAAAGCCATCTCCTCAAAGATCCGGATCATCATGAAGAATCTCCTATTTCGACAACTACGACGGATCAGCTCACCAGAAGATTCGCGTAGCCTATAATACCCGATTCGAATAAGATTCCACGGCTACACGCATCCGGCTCGAATTCAAGCTCCGTATCCGAGATGAAGTCTTATTCGAGTGCTTTCAAGAAATCGAGTTCTTTTTTGGCAAGATTCCAGAGCACAACCCAAAACAACTCGGATTATCCTCAGAATTCTTTCAAAAGGCCGAGTTCTTTTCCATTTGGGCTCGACAACGCGACAAAATCCTATCAGGGACAATTCGAAAGGTCTTTCAATCCAACACTTGGGATACCAGCGACCGGAGCTCGAAGGGTCTCAGACTAACGATAACATCGCAAGATCAGTATCATCCATCGGCGAGATCCGTTCTCGAGGATAGCGGAACCCAACTAGTCGGCACAACAACAACAAATATTCTACCTTACCAAGAAGGAGACTCGATCTACGATGTCGAGGCGCCTCATCAAGTCATCAACAACTCCGGCGGTATGAAAACTAACACCAATAACGGGCAGGCTCACGCATCGGAGGTGCTCATGGTCCGGCGCCCTCGGTCACCATTAAATCCCGGAAGCACCCGATGTCGGTCATCAGATGAATCAGAGTCCAACATATCACCCTTTGCCCAGGGCTACGATGGAGAAACCGAGAGTCAGAGACAGGCTAGAGAAAGGAAAAACAAGTTGAAGCAAGGGTGCCAACACCGCGCTCGACAGCGTAGAGAAGCCTAGACCAGATATGAGTCAGAGTTGGCTGAATACGACAAAAGAAAATCACAACAAGAAGCCGAAGAAAGACGCACAGTGAATACGCCTTACGATAAGATTCGAGAAGCATTAGAAGAACTCAGGGCAACTTCACATCACGGAGAGAAGTATGAACAGCTCCAGGACTTGCTCCGGTCGATGATCCCAAGAACGCATGAAGAGAGAGCCCGATCAAGACTACCCGCCAGATCAACAACCCGTAGGCAAGAAGATCAAAATCAAAGGAAGTCCGCTTTTGAGAGACTTGGGCCAAGCGGAAGCCATAACGGAGAAAGTAGGAGGGAACATAGTCGGGGCCACCAATTTGAACAACCAAGGAAGACCAGGAGTAGAGTGCCTACCCAGACAGCCTCGCAGACTTATTCCCATCAAAACAACACTTGGCCTGGAAGAAGGAGCCGAATCTGAATTCAAGGAAGCTTAACGCATGATGATTCCCTGCTTTTGCAAACAAAGTTGACATCGATCGATTACCTCACAAATTCAAACCGTCTAACCACTCCAAGTATGATGGCAAAACCGAACCAAGACAATGGCTCAGAATATATTCACAATCAATTGAACTAGCCGAAGGAGACGATGATATCAAAACCTTGTTCTTTCCCATGGCACTGGAAGCAATGCCCCTCCAATGGTTCGATAAATTGAACCCAGGATCGATCAGAACTTGGGAAGACTTGCAAAGAGCTTTCTGTGAAAATTTCGTAGGTATCATCACACACCCGATCACTCATGCAGAACTGAAAGGACTCAAGCAAAAGGGGGGCAAAAGTCTCAAAAATTACTATCGACGATTCGGCGAACTGCGGGCTCAAGTGCATGACATCACCGAACGAGAAGTAATTGAAACTTTCTCTCACGGAATCATGGCTAGGTGGCAATTTCAAGACTTCTGCAAAGAAAATCCGAGAAACAATGAAGAGTTCAGGTGAACAGTAGAAAAAATGATTACTGCAGAAGAAAAAACACGAGAAAGGTTCCCGGATACAAGCAATCAAGACAACCCGGATAGGCAAAATCATCGAAATAGCAGACATCAAGAAAGAAAGCGTAGACCAGACAATACCGTGGCAACGGCCGACAAATCAAAGAAGTTTTCCAAACCCAGAAGATATGATGACATTGAAAACATACGTTGCCCATTACACCCTAACGGGAGACACACCATCGGAAACTGCTACACTTTTAATGATCGATACACAAGAAAAGATAGTAAGGAGAACACCAAAGAGGACAATCACAAGAAAGATGAAGACAACCACGAGGACAAAGGATTTCAAAACCTAGGGAACGATGGCGATGATCTTCTCGGGGGCTCCAGTTGAACAAGCAAACGTCAAGAAAAACTAGCACTACTGGACTATCATGACGGCAGAACCGGCTACACCAAGATATCTCAATTGGTCACAATATCCAATCTAATTTTCAAGAGAAGACCAATGGACTAGCGTGAGGAACGTGAGGCCATTACCCACTAGTTCTAGACCCGACTATTGCCGGTATGGTTGTCACCAAAGTACTAATCGATGGGGAGCTGGACTCAACATCATCTTTTCGTAAACACTAAGGAAGATGGGACTACAACTCACGGGATGATTACACCAACAAGCACTCCTTTTTACGGAATAGTACCCAAAAGCAGCCATGCCACTCGGACAAGTTACTTTACCCGTCACTTTTGGAACTCCTTGAACTATCGAGCGAGTTTATCAAATTCGAGGTCGCAGACTTTGAGTCGTCATATCATGCGATCCTCGGACGCCCAAAGACAGCAAAATTCATGGCAATACCACATTATCCGTACTTATTACTTAAGATGCGAGGACCCAACGGTATCCTTTCTCTTGAAGCGATTTGAAGCGTGCTTTTGATCTGCGGACGTTCAGTAATCCAAATTGCGCCAAAGCACAAGCCGACAATGGAAGAAAAGAAATAGCCACAATTGCTTTG